GTAGCACTGAATTGCTAATTTTTGATACTGTGAAGAAGTTTTTTGATGAAAATCACATTTTTAGAGCGCTAGAGCAACAGGGTGAAGTGTATGAGCCTCAAGCAACCGAACTCATCAGAAGTGACGATAGTGAAAAGATCACTTTGAATCTGAATTTGGATAAGAAACCAACGGCAGAGGTTAGTGTTGTGGTTTTTAGTTTGCTCTTAGCGTATAAACTTTTTTTTTGATTTTTTGATTGGCATTGTTTAATAATCGATTGGATGGAATCTCGCACGCATTTAATTTCATTTAATTTGGAATTATTCCATTTAGTACTCGTAGACAGGCATTTTTTGCTGATACTTAAGCGCCTCATGGAGTATGCTGCTGGTGATTTCCGTATTTTTCAAGTGTTCTGAATGCCTCATTTCAGGATTTGAAGCGACCTGTATTTTCCGGAGTGTCGGTGTTTGAACAAATCAAGATGAAGAAAGAAGAACCAGCAAGTGATGAAGAAAGACCGAGTTCTAGCCGAAGAGATCGAAGCAGAGACAGGGATGAAAGGCGCGATCGGCGAGATCGTGACGCGAAGAAAGAACACAGGAGCCGCAGTCGAAGTCGTGACAAGGAGAGGGATCGTGGCATGAAAAGGGAGCATAGAAGTCGGAGCAGAAGTCGCGAGAGGGAGCGAGATCGACAAGTGGGAGGTAAGTTCTGCTCTTCGATGAGATTACTTTGCAGCAGAAATTTATGGGATCTGCGTTCTCTCAGGTGGTCGAAAAGACCGACCGTCGTCCTTCGTTCAAAAAGGACGAAAAACCCAAAAAGTCGGCTCTCGATGAGATTCGAGAACAGCAAGAATGGTTCAAAGAGAAAAAGAATAGGAAGGATCATTGGCTTCATGAGGGTATCATTGTTAAGGTGAGTTTAAATCTCACGTCTCCTCTTTATGATCCTGAAGTTTTTGTTTTATTTCTCTTCTGGGTCTCTTTTATTGGATTAATTGGTTTTTTGTCAGATAATCACGAAGAAGTTGGGAAATGATTTCTACAAAGCGAAAGGAGTTGTGAAAACGCTTATTGATGACTACACGGCTAGCGTGAAATTAGATGATGGTAGGGATCCTGTCTTTTCTTTATCATTTTTTTGTTTTCTTACTTCCCCATTTCATTTGATTTAGTGTCCTTCTTTTGTCCTAGTCTTTTTTTTAAATTCAAGTCATAGTCTTTTTTTTCAAATTTAAGGAACACTTGTTAAACTGGATCAAGCACATGTGGAGACGGTAATACCGAATGTTGGAAGGGAAATGAAAATAGTGAACGGAGCCTATCGAGGTTGTGTTGCTGTGAGTTCATTTTCTTTTCTGTAAATTTTTCGACCTCAGAGTAGAAGCGGTTGCGTTTAGCGCTTTTAAGGTCTAATCTCGCAGTCCTTTGTGTAAGTGTTGTATAGCATGTACAACGACTTACCATTTCTTCTGGTGATTAGGCAGTTGATCAATATCAGCTTCAATTTTTGCCTCTTCGTAGTTTGATGTACGGCAGTGTGCTGTTCACATCTCACATAGCGATAAAGATCCGACTTGCTCAGGAGGAGATTTTCAAGCTGAATAGCGTCGACCTCCTTAGATAAAGTCAGACAGTGACAAGCAGACCGTCCGAAATCCGCCTTTCTTCAAATCTCTTTCTTTTACTGCGTTTTATTTGCAGTTCCTCTTCGCCTATCAAATAATTACTTCCAGAAGCTGGAGAGTGTCGACCAGGATGCGTTCTGTTTGAACCTCCGTATTTCGGAAGGGCCGATGAATGGTCGAACAATACGTGTGCCCTATGAAGATGCTAGTAAATTGGCGTAGATTTCGATCTCGCAAGATTTCTACTGTGTTTGTACATAATAAATATTTGATATTTCCATAATTTGCATTGTGTTTTCCGGTTGAATCCGTTTGATTTCCTACTTATGTGTCTTTCATCCGTTTATTCAAGCTCTAAATGTAAAGTCTTCAAGAGTTCTGATCAAATAGTGATTTTAGAAATGGCGATTGAAGAAGTCGTAATAAAAGGCAGTCTCAAACTAAAGAAAGGAGATGTGTTCAAGAAAAAGAAGAAAAAGACTGTTGACCCAAAGATGATCGATTTAACAATAAAGAAGGATGAACAGTCGGGAGCGGTCGGGAAAACGAAGGCTGAAATTGCGTTCGAGAAGAGACGTCAAGAGACAATGGTAAGTCGTTCAGTTTTTTTTTTAAGTTGAAGTCTTTGTCCCGCCATTCCCTTTTTATTTTTGGGCACTTCGGTTTCTCACTTTCTAATTTTCTGGCGGTTTGATTCTGTTGTTTACCGGACAGTTTAGGTTTCCAACTAATTAACTATCAGGAGGTCAATTTTAATTCAAAAACTAAGCATGCATTAGGTAGGAGAAAGCTTCCATGTGCAGGGAAGCTCCAGCACCACTTCATTCCAGTGGATGCTCCCCTAAATCGTGCTTCATGCCGGCTATTACCTCTCACGATTCATATTTTGCCACTCGACGACCTACCTTTATTCACTGACCATTCCACACTGCCTCTGGGTTTAGGACGTACTCTCGGTTCACATGTTTACCGTTTGTCGTCGTTTGAAGCTATTCCGCCACTGTTTTTTTTTGTGCCTGCGTCTAGCTCTTACCGACGGATCATGGACGAAAGTCCTGTAATTTTCTACATCTCTGATACTTCCTGTGTATTGTGTTGTTGTAGGATGTAGTTCAATGAGCACAGAAGGAGGATATCATTGTCTTAATAGCTTTCTCCAAAGATTACCGAAGGAACAGAGTTTGAACTACTTCTTTGTTTATGACCCCCTTATTTTTTTGAATGTTTTTACTGATTTCCCTTTGTTGTGTCGAATCTCGTCAACACTGAAATCCGGTTATGTAACCTCGGAGGTGCGCTTACATTTTCTCATGCATTTGAATAGAAATCCTATAGGGACCCATTTGGGCGATGTTTTGAAAGCATAAATCAAGTGAACTCGCGGGGTTGCTCGACGTTACCCTGCCTGCGCTTCATCTCCCACCTCTATGTATTACTGCTTCTTCCTTCCTTGAAAGGGTCAGCGCACCCGGTTGATTCAAAGGCAATGGTGACAATGGCTTGAGGGCGGAGCAGTTTTGATGATCTCGACGTCATTGGTGGTAGGGCGTTCAGAGATGATTTGGACCTCATTCCCAGCGCGCAGAGGGATCTAGTCCACCATTGACGTTCAAGAACGTAATCAGAATCGCATCGCTCTCCAGCCATCGCGGTCACAGCCTTTCAGTGGAATTCTATCAATGAGACCGTATGAGGTAATGCGAATAGGCTTCCTCTTTTACTGTTTTATCGTTAACTTCATTGAGCTATCTACCACATTTCAGTTTGAGAGGATGCAGAAGAAAGCGGCTGTGAGTCATCGACAGCGAGTGGAAGAGTTCAATAAGCAAATGAGCGAGTTGACGGAGTTCAACGATATTCCGAAAGTGTCCTGGACGAAGTAGATCGAAAAGTACATGCTTTCTCATTCCTATTTTCGACTGCAGTATACCTTTTTTGGTCTTTGGTCTCTCAATATCAATCAATATGTATAGCGGATTTACAAAATCCTGTACAAAACTTTCTTTGCACATTTCTTGTTTTACGTGGATTCCAATAAATTGTACTCGGTTGAAACTTCCTTGGTGACTCCGTAGTTTGTAGTTGAATTGTCTAGCAATACTTGGTAAAATCTTCGTTATCACTGCAAAGTAAAACAGCCTTGAAACCATATACGATCAATAAATAATATAGATTTATCACACTAAGAGATCTGGAATGTATTAACTAGGTTAATACATATTAACTACAACGTTGCAGCCAGTTGCAATCTCAGCAGACCATCTCATGACGTCACAGCGCGCTACGATTGCATAGCGGATTTGAGCGGAAGGTCGTCGTCATAGCCATCCATGAAATTGGAACCGTTGCAGGTCAGATTATTATTGCGAGCTTGAAATGGGTCCAGTGAATATCGATCGTGTAGGAGTTATTGATCGTTAGCTCGGATCGCTCGTAAGAGTTCCATGAATGAGAAATATACTCCGGATATGCAAATCGAGCAGCCTAAGCCAATAATCATCTGGTCAAAACGACGGTCTCTATT